GTGGCCCTGCAATGTCTACTTGACTGTCGATGGTACGCAACGACATGCCGGTCGAACTATCGACCCCCTTCAATGTTGTCTCTTCCGCCTCTTCATTGTGTCCCGATTCGCTAGAGTTGGTGCTGCCCTCCCATGTCTGCTGCGTATCCATCAATTTCTGGAGCTGGTACATGTACTCCAGATTGGTCCTGCAATCCAGCGAGCAAAATCGACCTGCAGCGTTACTAAGAGATGAGAGAGACGTGAAGAAAAGGCACTCGCAGTTGGCGCAGTGTGTCTGTCGCTGACGCCATTGGGCTCGACCAGAATCTCCCTCAGCATATCCTCGCCGTGCTATTCGCTTCACTTTCGTCTGCCCGGAAGTTGGTGGAGCAGATGATACGCATCGACCAGGTTCATTGTGGTGTTCGATGTCGTTGCTGGACGGGCAGCTTGCAGTTCCGTGAGCCGACCTCAGAATGCATTCCACTTTTCCTGACCAAGACTTGGGTTGCTGGTTGGGTGCACGCCTCCCTCTGTGATAGATGAACTGGATCATGCGCGACTTAAATCTCGTGGACGTGGCCACAGCTTCTTGCGTCTGATGCATCACAGACTCTCGACGCATCAACTTCGGATGGTAGTCCTCTCGAATGCGTGCTGCACTCGTCACAACGTGGATGCTGCTTGACGGCATATTCAAAAATGATCAATACCAGCGTTGCAGCGTTCGGATGATTGATTTTGCTTGTGGCCTCAAGTCATGCGAACATGTCGACATGCCTGGACTTCCTCGCTTTCTAATGGCAGTTCGTGACAAGGTCATGAAAGGGATTTGAAATCAAAATCTGGTCTCTAAACAATGGATCGAGCTTAATGGCTCTACTGTAAATCCATGGACTTGATCACTACACAAAGTGCTTCGCGACGAGAGCAACGCGCGCATGGATACGCGGTGTACCTCGAATGCTTGATGCTGAGGGACCATGAGAACGCAAGCACAAGTGTTCGAATCGTCATCGTGGAGGAAGAATAAGCAATAGCTGACTCATTTGGAGAGGGTTGTGGGACGACTTCTCTGCTTGAACTAGCTATGGGACGTGATGAAACACGAAATCGAGAGTTTTGCAAACAAAGCCACCTCAGTCATCATTAATGAATACTCAAACATTGCTTCGATTTACAAGTGGTTACAACATGAGAGAAACTCGGCACCGGATCAATTCGTGTTCGGATGGTAGTACGCGCTCGATGACGATGGGTACAACTGACGAAATGGTAACGAGCCAAACGTAACGCAGCTGAATCAGTGAGACTATCGTTGGCGCCATGATTCTTGGTTTGAGTGCATTGGCTTTACACGCATCACCTATGCCTTCTGATGACATACAATCAGAGGCGTTTACACTGATGGTGTATTGTGGTGGGGTTGACAGGGGTTTCAATGGTCTTTGTCCGCATTTCAACCTCTGCTTTTGATGGTAGATATCCTAGCAAGAACAGTGCTTATGGGCGGAAAGAGCATCTCACTGCAGTACTTCCAGCACGCCAAGTGTTGTCTTCATGTATTCATTGCATGTGGCGTTGACTGTAGCGCTAATAGTGACAACACGTTGTGTAAGAACAGGCCGTCCTCGTAGCTGTGTGGATTGTATTCGTGGGCATGCTTCAGCCAAATAGACTATTCGACACCACATTTGTATTTGCCACTTAACTCATCAGTAAGCGCAATCTTGTTTTGGACCCCGCGCTACTCGCTCTTGACAGCCATTGATGTGACAGCGTTGCGTGGTAAAAACTGTGACCAATCACCGCAACATGGAACAGGGCCAGTGCCGTGACCGAAACAAGATGTACTATGAGCGGGACCACCGTGACGTGGTAGAGTATCGTTTCACTTCAGCATAGATGACTTGAGTCTTGAATCTGGCTTCATGATGTCAATAGGATGTCTTCAACAGTAGACGGTTTGAGGATGAGCCGAGAACAGACGGACGTATGTATGTGCCTTGTCGCTGATAGTTCATGCAAGAGAAAACCCCAGCTGTCGAAGAACGATCCGAGTGAATGCACTGGATGGAGCTCCTCTTACGTCCGCATCAAGATTCGTACCTTGCCATTTCCAGTTCAATCGGAGACTTGAACTGAGGATGTGTGTAAGCATTTTTGGCAGGTCCAAATGAAATGAGCTACTTCCAATGTATCGCATGGCGCTAGAGCGAGGAGCAATCGACCAGCGCTTTACGATGACACCATCTTCTCTGATGTCCTATGATGACTAACCCGAAGTTGAGGTACCTGTGAGCAACTGCGCTAGCGTTTGAGCTACGACAGAAATTTGGGTGTCCTTACATCCCTTCGCTTTCCTGCTCGAATTTTTGTTCATGGTGGCGACGTACCAGCTTCCATCACCGTGGTTTGTCGTTCGCAATGGTTTCCTTTGATTAAGGCTACAACGATACTAGCGCTACAGCCGTTCTGCAAACTGGAAGAAGCAACACCTCTTTTCGGTTGATCTCAAATACGATGGCTAGAACGGTCATGTGAGGCATACACCAAAGTACCAGCCTCAATCATGTTCGATCGCGCACCAAGCGCGTAGATGGAATGTACAGGCGCTGATGGTGATCCTGATCGTTGGCCGGAGATCTGGACGCCACTCTCATGCCTTGGACGTGGGTACAGTTGTTGTACATTCGTGTGGCGCTTTGTTTCGGAGACGTCGGGCATGTTGCGTCGTCGCTGGTGGTGTACTACGACTGTGTTTCACGTTGGACGGTTACAAACTGACGATAAGGGCCACCCGCGAGAGATGTAGGATATGTGAAGTGTTGAAAGCCAGTAGTTTGGCGCATCAGCAGGTGTGAGACTGTTCTCTCCAACACGTGTTTCCAGCTGCTCCGCTCCGACTTCGTGATTTCTTCCTGCGATACTAGCCACGTTATGGAGGTGCGCAAACAGCACGAAGCAAAGTGACGGAAGATACGAGGAAGTAGCGGAAAGGTTGTAGAGAATATCAGAGTACGACATCGAATGGTATGCGCTTGGTAGCATCGGCGTCAGTCCTAGTTTTGGTTCGTCATCGGTGCAAAATACTCCAACATTTGCACGATGTGTTTCGATGGATTTTTGATCGATGCCGATCGATACGCGCGCGTGCTGATGCTGTAGTCACGATTTTGTTTGGCAGCGATTGCCGTTCCGCCGCAACCACTCTTTCGACTGGTAAATTGCTGAAGGACGAGTGACCAACAATTCCGTATTTGTTGTATCGTCTGCTCCGGTTGTTGACGAAGTGTGCTGAAAGTCGCGTCTGGCAGGCGTAAAGAGTCAAGTGTGATACTATTGTTCATCTCCGTAGTCTCTACACTCACCATCTTATATGCGTCGTGACGAAGGGCGGCGCCATACTCTCGTATTTGACTCTTTCACTCTCATCGTGTGCAGTTATTCAGAGAGATCGTCAAGGCTCACTTCGAGTAGTCGTGTCTCTCATAAATAATGCTCTTCGTGTTCTTACTCCATCATGCTTCAAGTCTAGTGTTTACTACAGTGTCCTGTGGCCCTGCAATGTCTACTTGACTGTCGATGGTACGCAACGACATGCCGGTCGAACTATCGACCCCCTTCAATGTTGTCTCTTCCGCCTCTTCATTGTGTCCCGATTCGCTAGAGTTGGTGCTGCCCTCCCATGTCTGCTGCGTATCCATCAATTTCTGGAGCTGGTACATGTACTCCAGATTGGTCCTGCAATCCAGCGAGCAAAATCGACCTGCAGCGTTACTAAGAGATGAGAGAGACGTGAAGAAAAGGCACTCGCAGTTGGCGCAGTGTGTCTGTCGCTGACGCCATTGGGCTCGACCAGAATCTCCGTCAGCATATCCTCGCCGTGCTTTTCGCTTCACTTGCGTCTGCCCGGAAGTTGTTGGAACGGGTGATACGCATCGTCCAGGTTCGTTGTGGAGTTCGATGTCGTTGCTGGACGGGCAGCTTGCAGTCCCGTGAGCCGACCTCAGAATGCATTCCTCTTTTCCTGACCACGACTTGGGTTGCTGGTTGGGTGCACGCCTCCCTCTGTGAAAGATGAACTGGATCATGCGCGACTTGAAACTCGTGGACGTGGCCACAGCTTTTGCGTCTGATGCATCACAGACTCTCGACGCATCAACTTCGGATGGTAGTCCTCTCGATTGCGTGCTGCACTTGCCAGACCGTGGATGCTGCTTGACGGCATATTCAAAAATGATCAGTACCAGCGTTGCCGCGTTCAGATGATTTATTTTGCTCGTGGCCTCATGTCATGCGAACATGCCGACATGCCTGGACTTCCTCGCTTTCTAATGGCAAGACGTGACAAGGTCATGAAAGGGATTTGAAATCAAAATCTGGTCTCTAAACAATGGATCGAGCTTAATGGCTCTACTGTAAATCCATGGACTTGGACACTACACAAAGTGCTTCGCGACGAGAGAGCAACGCGCGCATGGATACGCGGTGTACCTCGAATGCTTGATGCTGAGGGACCATGAGAACGCAAGCACAAGTGTTCGAATCGTCATCGTGGAGGAAGAATAAGCAATAGCTGACTCATTTGGAGAGGGTTGTGGGACGACTTCTCTGCTTGAACTAGCTATGGGACGTGATGAAACACGAAATCGAGAGTTTTGTAAACAAAGCCACCTCAGTCATCATTAATGACTGCTCAAACATTGCTTCGATTTACAAGTGGGTTACAACATGAGAGAAACTCGGCACCGGATCGATTCGGGATCGGATGGTAATACTGTTGGGGTAATTGGATGTAAAAGCCGAAGTGAATATATTTAAGGTCCTTAGTTCACTACCCTTAGCTAAGTCTAAGCCTTAATGTAACGACATCCTGTGATCTCATCATGTAACCGCGATCCATAACCTTCTTCCGTAATAACCACCATGAAACACCCTGACACAGAAATCATCACCATGAACCCAACATGAAACGACTGCACGAAGCGGCGTATTCTCAACACTCCCACTCGCCGCTACTGCTTGGTTTCTTTGCACTGGATACTGTTTGCATCGCGCAGGAACTTGAACGTCTTGGATCCTAGCGCCTTGGTCAGTATGTCGGCCAATTGATGTTTGGTGTCCACATACGCTACCGCAACCGTCCTGTCTTCAATCGTCTCTCTGATGAAGTGATGACGGATGTCCACATGCTTGGTCCGAGCATGATAACCAGCGTTTTGGGCCAAAGCAATCGCTCCTTGATTGTCCTCCCATATCTGGGTAGCGTTCATTTGTACCATTCCCATGTCCGTCAGTATCGCACGCGTCCATAGCACTTCCTGAACGCATAGGCTTAAAGCCATATACTCAGCTTCCGCTGAGCTGAGGGCAACCGTTCGTTGGAACTTAGATTTGAACACCACCGGAGCGTTCCCAATCATGATCATAACCCCCGAGACAGAACGCCTGTCGTCGAGGTTGGAACCCCAGTCCGCATCCGAGTAGGCTTCAGCTGTGACGCTGCCAGTACCACCTTTGTAGATGATCCCGTGCTGGCGAGTCGTCTTTAAGTAGCGTAGAACACGTATAGCAGCGTTCCAATGCTGCGCCCCGGGATTCTCCAGGAAACGAGAAAGTTGCGTTACCACGAATGAAATGTCCGGGCGAGTACACGTCGTGATATACAGTAGGCATCCAATTAAGGAGCGGTACGGTCTCGATTGCATCTTTCTTCGCTCTTCATCCGTTGCTGGCGATTGCGACTTTGACAACTTAAGACCAGTTGCACACGGGTTGTCAACCGACTTAGCGTTCTCTTGCCCGAACCGTTTCGCCACATCATCGATGTATCGCGTTTGCTTAATCATAAGCGTTCCAGCAGTCATGTTATGGTCGATCTCCATTCCCAGGATAAATTTCGCCGGTCCAAGCTCCTTCATCTTAAAGACACTCTTGAGTGCGTTTTTCACGTCATCAATTTCATCACTAGTCTTCGCCGCAATGATCATATCATCTACGTAAAGACAGACGTAAATGAAATTGCTCTTGGAACGCTTGACATAGACGCACTGGTCCGCACCACAGCTCTTGAATCCGTACCCAAGAAATACCCGATGAATGGTCTTGTTCCAGGCACTTGCAGCTTGCTTCAGTCCATAGATGGCCTTGTTCAGCTGGCACACATAGTTCTGAGCGTTCTCAACGCCAATTGGTACCTCCATGTAGACACGGTCCTCCAACTCACTGTTGAGGAACGCTGTGTCAGCGTCCAACTGTTCCATCTGGTACGCGAAAGCAGCGCAGACGGAGAGCACAACTCGAATCGAGTTCATGTTCGCCACAGGAGAGTACGTTTCAAAAAAATCCACTCCGTACTTCTGCTTGAAACCCTTCGCCACCAACCGCGATTTGAAGCGCACCACGCGACCGTTCTGGTCACGCTTCTTGGCGAAAACCCATCTGCACCCAATGGTACGGATGGCCGTTCCTCGTGGAACTAATGTCCAGGTATCGTTCCGTTTATGAGAGAGCAGTTCAGCATCCATGGCTTCACGCCACTGTGTTGAATCTTCACTGGCAATTGCCTGAGCGTATGTTGTAGGAAGATCCACTGTGTCAATGCTTGCTGCGTACGCGAGGACGGCTTCAGCAATAAGGCCGTCTTCATCGATCCTGGCACGCTTCGGATAGGACGGTCCATCTCTTCCTTCCGACTTCCGTTCTTCCTCTGCGTCCGTTCCCTCTTCAAGAAGGAAGACTGGTTCCCGGGAACTTCTAAAACGGTCTCTAGGGGTATGGAACACCACTTTGATCGTCCTCGAAGATAGTCGGTGGTCCACGGTACGGTTCCAACTCAAATCCAGTGGAAGCTGACCGTTCTTGTGGCATCAGCAGCGGCGGTATAGCGTCCTGTATCGGTTGCATGCTCTCCATCTCTACATCCGGTGCATCGTTCTCAACGCCTTCCATGGGTTCCGCTTCGACGGGTTGAAGTTCCACTGGTGCGAGCGTGACTTCATCATCGGCGTCTGTGCTAACATGAATAACTGTTTCGATCTGAGCAGGTAGTGTATCGTAAATACCATCTCACCTCACGCTCGTCCAATTTCACCGAGCGAGAAACCTTGACCTTGGAAGCGTCCAAGTCATAGACACGGTAACCCTTGACGTTTTCTGGGTATCCGAGCAGCAGACATCTAAAGCTCTTAGGTTCAAGCTTCGTCCTCTTCGCTTCGTCAATGTGAGCGTACCCGCGAGAACCAAATACGCGTAGGTGATCTAGCGTAGGTTTCACTTTGAAACCTAGCTCAAACGGTGTTACGGTTGCGTTGTGCGTGTTCGTGGAACGGTTGATTAGATATACCGCAGTACTAACTGCTTCAGCCCACCACTCCATTGGAACGCCCTTGTAGTATAGCATACTTCGAGATCTCTCCATGATAGTTCGGTTCATCCGTTCTGCCACTCCATTCTGCTGAGGGCTATACGGGACAGTCCGTTGGTGCACGATACCGTTCAGCATACATATCTTCGTCATCTCTTGGTTGGACAAACTCCGTTCTGTTATCCGATCGTAAACACTTCATGCGCTCTCCCCATTGATTCTCATAGAAAGTCATGAACTCTCTAAGCTTAATGGCCACCTCGCTCTTCTTTTTCAAGAAATAGGCCACAACGTAGCGCGAGTAGTCGTCCACGAACGTCAGGACATACTTGGCACCACCTTTTTCGAAGGATTATTCATTGGTCCCATCATATCCGTGTGGACGAGCTCAAGAACGCGCGACGTCTTCGAGCTGGAACAATGCGGAAATTTAGCCACCGTTTGCTTCCCTTCATGCATCCGCCACACAAAGACTGGGGCGGTTGACCAACAGCCGGAATACCGTTCGTGGCATGCCTTGTCTTATCCAGAGCATCCTGGTTGGGATGCCCCATGCGAGCGTGCCAAAGCTCCCACTTGCTGTCAGCCCCGGCGTACTGGACGAACCGAGCTTCTTCTTGTTCACAGTCTAACATGTAAGCCTTGCCGACCTTCTTACCCTTCGCAATTGCGCTAGCCGCTCCCCATATAACACATGAGGAACGCTGAAACTCCACGTTCAGTCCACGATCCGCGAGCTTCCCCCACTGACAACAGACGCCGATCGAGGCCCGGTATGTGAAGAACTTCAACCATCTTAATCCGTTTACCGTCCAGTCCAAGCAAGCGTACCGTACCACGTCCAGTGACCTGCAGCTTCTTTCCGTCAGCGATTGTTACTTCGATGCCACCATTCACGTTCTCATACTCGAACAGATCGGAACGGTGCGGGGTCATGTGGGCGGTCGCGCCGCTGTCGATCAACCATCCGTTTACACGTTCTGTGCTCACACCAAATACCGCATCGCCGTCTGTTGTTCCCTCTTGACAGTCTCGCTTCATGTGCCCAACTTTGTTGCACTTGAAACACTTGCCTTGGAAACCACTAGAGTTCTTCTTCTGATCGCTCCACTTGCGACCACTCCTCTTGTTGCCCTTGAAACGTCCAGCGTTGACCTTAAATGCTCGTTCCAAAGTCGTGTCTTTCTTCTCCAACCGTTCACACTCCTTCAACAGCTTCTCTTTCACCTCGATGAGCGTGATGTCCTTGACGTTCTTGATGATCGACGATATCAGCTCGTATTCGGCTGGAAGGCTGCTCAGCAGCACCACTAGCTGCCGTGCCTCGTCGACGGGCTCTTCAAGCGTCTGAAGACCGACAACGAGCTCGTCGAAAGCGTCCAAATGCTTTGCCATGGCCGTTCCAGCATCCATCTTGAATTCGTGGAGGCGCCGTGTCATCGTGACCCGATTGTGGAGTGTAGTGCGATTGTAGAACTCCCTAAGTGTTACCCACGCTTGAATAGCACGCGTCGACGAACGGATCTTTGTCTGGTGTTGTAGTTCCACACCCTGCGCGATGATGCCGAGAGCCTTTGCATCATTTACTAACCAAGCTTCCGTTATCTCGCTCTCCGGCTTGACCACCTCCACGTGCGCCAGCAGTCCTTTTCTGGTGAGCGACATCCTCATATTGAACTCCCAATGGAAATAATTTCCACTTCCTAGGAGGACTTCGGCGCGCTTGGTACTCATCATGTGCGAGGCGAGGCGTTCTTGGTCTTGACGCCGCTGTCCGAGGTTGCGGCTGTTAACCTGTTGGGGTAGTTGGATGTAAAAGCCGAAGTGAATATATTTAGGGTCCTTAGTTCACTACCCTTAGCTAAGTCTAAGCCTCAATGTAACGACATCCTGTGATCTCATCATGTAACCGCGATCCATAACCTTCTTCCGTAATAACCACCATGAAACACCCTGACACAGAAATCATCACAATGAACCCAACATGAAACGACTGCACGAAGCGGCGTATTCTCAACAAATACGCGCTCGATGACGATGGGTACAACTGACGAAATTGTAACGAGCCAAACGTAACGCAGCTGAATCAGTGAGACTATCGTTGGCTCCACGATTCTTGGTTTGAGTGCATCGGATTTACACGCATCACCTATACCTTCTGATGACGTACAATCAGAGACGTTTACACTGATGGTGTATTGTGGTGGGGTTGGACAGGGGCTTCAATGGTCGTTGTCCGCATTCGACCTCTGCTCTTGATGGTAGGGATATCCCTAGCAAGAACAGTTCTTATAGGCAGAAAGGAGCATCTCACTGCAGTACTTCCAGCACGCGAAGTGTTGCCTTCATGTATTCATTGCATGTGGCGTTGACCGTAGCGCTAATAGTGACAATGCGCAATGTAAGAACAGGCCGTCCTCGTAGCTGTACGGATTGTATTCGTTGGCATGCTTCAGCCACATAGACTATTCAGACACCGCATTTGTATTTGTCACTTAACTTATCAGTAAGCGCAAATCTTGTTTTGGACCCCGCGCTACTCGCTCTTGACAGCCATTGATGTGACAGCGTTGCGTGGTAAAACTGTGACCAATCACCGCAACATGGAACAGGGACAGCACCGTGACCGAAACAAGGATGTACTATGAGCGGGACCACTGTGACGTGGTAGAGTATCGTTTCACTTCAGTATAGATGACTTGTGCCTTGAGTCTGGCTTCATGATGTCAATAGGACATCTTCAACAGTAGACGGTTTTAGGATAAACCGAGGAACAGGCGGACGTATGTATATGTCCTGTCGCTGATGGTTAATGCAAGTGAAAACCCCAGCTGTCGAAGAACGATCCGAGTGAATGTAGTTGATGGAGCTCCTCTTAGGTTCGCATCAAGATTCGTACCTTGCCATTTCCAGTTCAATCGGAGACTTGAACTGAGGATGTATGTAAGCATTTGTGGCAGGTCCAAAGGCACGAAATGAGCTACTTCCAATGTATCGCAGGGCGGCTAGAGCGAAGTAGCAATCGATCAGCACCCTTTAGAATGACACCATCTTCTCTGATGTCCTTTAATGACTAACCACAAGTTGAGGTGCCTGTGAATAC